CACACACACACACACACACACACACGCGCGCGCGCGCGCGCGCGCAGAGATTGTACCAACAAAACGCTCACGAAACAATTATTGTACTGTACAAAAAAAACAACATATAAATGTAATTAATCATATAAGTTAGTTTAATTCTTTCGTTTTTTTTTATATTTTCATAAATAAAAGCAAATTTTTAGTTTTTCTCTTATGACCCGCATTTAATTTTTAAATCGCCCCTCACGAATATCCCGTACTCCCGTAACGCCTAGGATTGCACGAGGTCCAGTCCCAGGTTAAAAGGATTAAGTTCCTTGGCCTAAAAAAGTAGGACCAACGCTCGCACTATCCATCGGAACAGGTGTCATAGCGTCCCTTCAGGACGTTGACCCACATTCCGGGACTTTAAAGAAGTGCTAACGACTCACAGCTGTACGCTTCCGTGCGTATACCTGTGAGATTGAGTCAACCGTCCTTCCGTACCCTCTCCATCTTCCTCTCTCGCCAATACCCAGGGTTGGACGTAACACTGGTAAATTGCTTCATCAATTACATTTTTAAGTATTAAAGGACCTGTGTATAGCAATAATTCTTAATTCAGTGGCTTTCCATCTCTGAAACTCTGACAGTGACCTAGGTTTTTTGTTTATTTCTGTAGAAATGCAATGCTCAGTGATATTAATCGTCCTGATATTATATTAGTAGATCTGCTACTAAGTTTTACTTGTAGTGGTTGTCCATCGATCCATGATTGTACAAGTTTTCGTACGACACCCAGGCATACACAATGCATGTAATAAATTGGAAAAGATGTGACTAAACCTATTTCAAGTTTTAACAACGGTGATTTATCAAAGTGATGTTCTTCATCCAATTGAAATTTAAAAGACTCATCAGTCCGTTTTGGGGCTGAAGTATTTCTCATAATAATTTTTCGTTGAACGTAAGATCCTGGTTCAGTACATTTATCACAGGAGGAATAGCCACTATGTGATTTGATCTGTTTCAAAAATGCTTTTGCTGGAGCATCACATACAAAGCTATGAACATCCACGTGATATTTTTTATTACCAAATTTAATACCTTCTTTTAATAAATAACCCAGTTCATTTATGAAATCATCTAAAAATTTCTCTAATGGTCTTGGTTTTGACGTGCCGCAAAAAATTCCAATAGTAAATGGTGTATTTTGTGTGGAATTTTTAACTATTCCTAAAATTGGCCAAAATTGAATGTTCGAACTACGAAATAGAGGCAAACCATCTACATTGAACCCAATTTTAAGTACTACAGCTGAAAAAGTAGTATTTTGTATTAAAAATTTTTTAATTCGTTTGCTAAGCCAATGTGACAATATTCTCCATTTTCCAATTGTTTACTTTGCATATTAGTAGGTGTCTGAAGTAATGTTCTCGAATGAAGAGGCAATTCTGGATAATCAGGTGAAACAATATGTAATAAACTAGTAAGTGCGGAATGAGAAATTTTATAATTTACTACCCAATTTTGTAGCTTCACGGATAAATTATTTTGCAAAGGTAAAAGTACAGAATTATCTTGTGATATCAAAAGTGGATCAGCGATTGTACTACCGTTAAAATCATCTAAATCTGCATTAGAAACACTATGTTCAGTAATATCCAGACTACATGAAGCAAAATTTTCTGTATATGTAGAATCTTTTGTCTGAGGCAGAAAGCAATTTATACTATTATTAGTACTTTCGTCATTACTACTATTTGAAGTAGTAACATTATTACTTTTTTCTTCAATTTTTGCGTCATTTAAAATAGCGGTTACAGCTTTAGAGATTCTCCTATATAATTGTCGAACACCCACACTGCGTTTTAATTTAGTCTTTTTAACTTTTGTACTTGCCAACATTTTTAAACAGAAAAAAAGATATTCTCAAGAGATATTTGATATCTAGGAAAGTAAAGCTAAATGTACTAAATTACGCTTATATAAAGTTCAATAATAAACTTGGCGCAAATACAGAACATTAAAATAAACTGAAATGTTTGTATAAACAAAAACTGAAATATTCATTTAATTAAAAAAAAAATAAATTTTTAATAACTTGAAAGATAACTCTTATATATAACTTCCCTTAAACAAAAAAATAAACAATTCTTTATCAAAACTACTTAAGCATATACTTAATTCTGTTCAGGAGCTCTATTTTTAATATTGAGTTTTTATATGTGTGTGTTTAAGCCATATCTTAATCACATCCTCAATTTCTTTTTCTGTATCAGATGAAGTTGATTTTACCGCTTTTATAAAACGAAAAACCTGTATTAAAAACATATAAACAAAAAATGCAACGTTTCCTCGAAACCGCAGTTTACAGAAATTTTATATAATATGAGTAATATTATATAGCTAAAATATATACTCTTAGGTTGTATTGTGTTAATGTTGTCAATGATTATTAAAAACAAATAAATCAACTGCATGCTGTTTTGTTTTAAATAACATTAACACAGCATAAAGACATATTAGAGATATTTTAGCTAACAATATTCATTATAAATTTATTACAGTTCTAAAGATATATGTTGTATAATAATAAATTCTCTAAAATAATATAAAAATAAAATATTTACTGTATATGATAGCCTTGTGGCTGGCGTATGTGGACGCTATTTTCTCATGTAGAACAATGTGCTTGAGTTTTTGCCAAAAGGAAATTTTATTGTCTCACAGGAACGTTCTTTACAGAGCGGAGAAATAATAACGCTTGATCTTCTCGAGAGATCGACAAAAACCATAGACTAACTAAACTTACGCAGGTAACGCATGCTATTCGGCTTGCTCCCTAACTATCGATACTAACGCCATAAGCGATACCAACGCCACAGGCCGAAGCGCAATAAGACGCGATCTTATTAAACTCATGCTCACTGCTATTACCAACGCCATGCATGTAGCGCGTACATGCCGCCGCCCTTGAAAGGATAATTTTTCAAATAAAAATAATGACTTACAAAGTTCTAAGTAACTTCAGCTATGATAATATTTTGTAGGACAGTTAACATACGAAATAAAATGTACATTAAAAAATGAATTGTTGATTGGCATCTTATAACAATAAACGATATATCTCTTATAATTAATCTTTCAACCGCTATCGCTAGGGTTAATCTGGCTAGACATCTCTCTACCTTCATTTGCTATAGGAAGTATACACAACCGCGTGATTGGACGCTTATAAATTCCCTTGGGCGTTCGAACAGTCACGGTACGAGTTACACCATCCTCTCCGGGATGCAATTCTTGGATTCTCCCGAGGTTCCAGGATAATGGTGGCGCGTGATCCTCCATTAGGATGACTACTTGACCCACATCAATTGGGGATTTGGAGGCATACCATTTATTTCTTTGTTGCAGGGAATGTAAATATTCACGACTCCAGCGTTGCCAAAACTGTTGCTTAATTTGCTGAACGTACTGCCATCTTGAAAGTCGGTTCGCTGGAATGCCTTCAACTGGTTTTTCACGCTGTAAGAGGAGTGCCCATTAAAAAATGGCCAGGTGTTAAGAATGTGAGGTTCCAAGGATCGGACGATATCGGAGTTATAGGGCGAGAATTTAGGATTGCCTCGCATTGAATGAGAATAATCTCCAATTCTTCCCATTGTAAATGTGCTTCTTTCGTCATTTTGACTAAATGCCTTTTGGTTGCCTTCACTGCAGCCTCCCAGAGTCCTCCTTGATGTGGGGCCCTAGGTGGTATAAAGTGCCATTTTATGCTCTGACATGATGCATATTCCATAATCTTTCCTTGTGTTGCCTTATCTTGGAGAAGATGCGTTAGTTTGCTTAGCTCGCGTTCTGCTCCCACAAAATTGAGACCATTGTCCGAAAATATGTCCGCGGGACAGCCTCTTCTTGCTGTGAATCGCTTAAACACGTTCAAGAATGCTTCTGCTGTCAAATCGACTGCTAGCTCTATATGAACAGCCTTAGTTGCCATGCATACAAAGATTGCAACGTAGCATTTTCTTAGTTGAGCATTTCTTCTGACTCTTTCCTTGTAATAGAAGGGGCCAGCATAATCGATTCCGCATTTCTCGAGTGCCCTGGTGGGTATGTTTACGCGAGACTGTGGAAGATTTCCCATAATTGCAGATGCTGGGGTTGGACTGTACCGAAAACAAATCACACACTTTCGGACTATGCTTCGAACAACATTTCTTGCTGATATGAGCCAATACTTCTGCCTCACTGCGGTTAGCGCGGCTTGTGCTCCGGCGTGAATTGTCTTGTGTGTTCATGCATCACAATTAATTGTGAGAATGTGTGATGCCCTGGAAGCAATGTGGGGTATTTTGCCGAGAACGGTATGCTTGCTGATTTAAGTCGACCTCCCACTCTTAGGACTCCCATTTCATCGATGAATGGACTGAGTTTTAATATAGGACTCTTTTTGTCTACAACACCTTGCTTGTTTAGTGACCTAAGTTCTTCTGAAAAATACACACTTTGAATTATCTTTACTAGCCGCGTGATTGCTTGGTCTTGTTCCTTTGCCGTGATGGGTCGAATCGTGTTGCTGCTGTTTTGCGTTGGCGCTTGCAATGTTTCTGGTGACTCCTTTTTTCTTGCCTTTTCCGCGAATCTCAAGATATATGCTACGACTCGGATAAGCTTAGTGAATGTAGAATATCTTCCGAATATATTGAAATCTGGAGAGGTTGCGGTTGCGACTATAGCCTTTGATTTCCTTTCAGGAACTTCCTCCAATCTGGTAATATGCTGTTCCTTGGGCCACTTATCCACGTCCTGAATCAGCCACGGGGGTCCCGCCCACCAAATTTGCAAGTCTATTATATCATTAGGCATAACGCCTCTAGAGAGGGGATCAGCGGGGTTGTCCTGGCTGCTTATGTGATGCCAATATTGAGTCGGCGTTAATTGCTGTATTTCCCCCACCCGATTGGCGACAAACGGAGTCCATGATCTGCTGCAGGACTGAATCCAGGACAGGACAATGGTGGAGTCCGTCCATAACCAAATGGCGTCTATTTTACAGGGAAGAGATTTTGCTTAATAATTGTGCCAATATCAATGCTGCGCATAGCTCCAATCGTGGTAACAATATACTCTTTAATAGGGCTACCCTGGATTTGGAACAAAGTAGATTCGTAATATGCTCTCCGCTCGCCAAGGTAGATCGCAAATAAATGCACGCTCCAAAGGCCTGTTCGCTCGCGTCCGCGAATCCATGGATTTCCAAACGTGTGTGTGGCTCACTTGATACGGCTAGTCGTGGGACGTTGATATTCCTTAAGATTGGTAATTCTCGTTCGTACCGCTTCCATTTTGTATAGCAAGTTAACGGTACTGATTCATCCCAGTCGGTGTTGAGTCTCCATAGATCTTGCATTACAATTTTTGCACATACTGTTACTGGACCTATTAATCCCAGAGGATCGAAGATTAATGCGATGCGTGACAAAATACTCCTTTTGGTGAGTTTTTGCAGTGGTGGAAGTTGACCAATGTTATCCAATTTAAATGAATCTGATGAACAATTCCAAATAAGGCCCAGCGCCTTTGTCTCCGCACCCTTATCTGTTGCTAAATTAAATTCTCGATAGTCATTATTGGAATAATTGTCTCCAAGAGATGGTTCATTCGATGACCATTTTCTTAATTCGAACCTTCCCTCTTGCAAAAGTTGGGTTAACTCATTTTTTAGTTGTGTTGCCTCCTTCAACGTGTCCGCACCTGACACGAGATCCCATTCTCAATATAACAAGGCTTTGAAAAATAATATAGTCCTAGAGGAAGACGGTTCTTGGACAATTTATAAAATAAAACGTAGCTTTTTTGAAACAGGTAAAGTTTAAATTATATAATATTCTATTAAATATTTACTTTAATATATGTCTAATTATATTGTAGATGACTATAGTAAAGCACAAAACAAAATAAAGCAAGCACAGATACTTCTGATTGTCAGAAGATGACATTTTACCGAAGAGGAAAATCCAAAAACCGCAAAGATTTATAATAAATTCTAGCAGCAGTGATGATGATACAACAACAAACAAAACTTCATCAAATAAGCATAAATTTTCACTACCACCAAAAATTGCTAGAGTAGATGGAAAAAGTTATGAAATATCATCTTCGTTATTATCACGCAATTTTGAGTAAATAAATACTTTTTTAGTTTAATATCTTCCTCTTACATTAGGTCTCTGATCTGTATTACATCTCTCTCATATACTTGTAATGTGCACGTTGCTTATTCAATTACCACAAGCATATGGAACATAGGACTATATTAAATTAAACATAATTATATTAAACATAACACACTGTTTTTACATAATTAATATATATGTTTTAGAGCCTTTTAAATATGTCGACATTGCAACATCCAATACATTGAACTCTAACACCGATTTTCAAATATCGGATAATAATTCTCTACCTGATGCAATTTTAAATCATAATAACACTCCAGCTACTTCGACTACAGTTGAAACTAATTATCAAAACAATGTCTACTGTAACGATAAAAGGAAAACTAAAAATTTTTATATGCGATAAAGTTTTTAAGTTATAATAATGATAACACTATGATATACTATTATTTTATTTTTAGTTACAAAAAAAATATTATCTCTTCTTATTCATATTAAAGAACAAAATAACGAAATGTTGACAATACTTCATGACAAAAGAACAACTGCAACTACTTCTCAATTCAGACTAAAAGATTTGACAGTAAAGTTGCCTGTATCGACCGAAAGAGATTTGCAGAATTTGGAAACTTACTTAAAAAACGATGAAAATTTATCTATTATGGTAAATATTTGCTGTTAAATCAATAATTTTCTTCTTAATTTTTATTAATACAAATTTTAATGTTACAGTGTTCATATTTAACTACATTGGGTGGAAAAGATCTTACATCAAAAACTAACAGAATTTGCAAATATCTTTTAACAGATGACATAACTTCCAATTATAGTTTATTCATTCGCTTACCGTAGAAACTATAATTGGAAGCTCTAGGACTATACTATTTTTCAAAGCCTTGTTATATTGAGAATGGGATTTGTAAGGTGGCCAGAACACTTCCTGTTTATGTGGTGTTAGCCACTGACTGTTTACCAAAGCAACACCACCACCACTGTCATCTGTAAGTTCAATTCTTATAAACGTTGCCATTGTTTGGCAGTAAATGCCACTAAACCTACAAGTTTAAAATAAAAATAACAATGTAAAAAGTTTTATACGGTATTTGGAATAATAAAAACAATGTATTTCTATGTTTAAAAAAATATATAATTTTAATCTTATGTTACTACACATGAGTTTGGCAAACCCAAGTATAAACATTTATTGGTGTTATCACAATATTTTTTTAGCTTCATAAACTTTTTTCTATTTATAATTGCAAAATTAAACGTGTAGTTTATTTAAGCAGACTTAGACGTTTTAATTACAAAAAGAGAATTAATTAAAAACGCGTATATATTAAATTTATCAAATCTGTTCTAGTGTAGCTCCCAAATTGTAGATCCATGATAGTAACAACATAGATAATTAATAAAAAATAACAGAGTTAAAACATATATAATGATTCAAAAACAAATACATACAACATTAAAAAAACATGTATGATATTGTTGATTTTATACAATATCTCTACATGCTTTTGATAACAAAAACTGGTATCCGTATAGACGTTTCTTATATTTAAGAAATTATCATTAGCATCTTATAAGATATTATTTAAGATGATCTTAAAATAAGATCAGACTATGAATATCGGTCAAAGAAGATTGTTATGCGAGGTTAAGTGCCGTTACATTTCTAATTATAGCAGAACCTAAAAGTAACGCACATTTTTTTTGAATAACATTGTCACGAGAACAGATCGGATAATTATTCTGTAGATGAAAAATACGAATTTTACTGTATTAAATGTTTTCACAATGTATTCACGTAAAAGAATTGTTAACATAGATTAAATAATATATTTGTATTATACATATACTGTATATTGATTGATACTTACCAAGAAATGAAAAGTAGGATTTAGATTACCAAAACTTATAACGTATTTTCCACAAATACGCAGGTTGAGAAAACAAAAAACGCGCGATTGCCGCGAACCATGCCAACATGATGCGACACGTACATGGCAATATGGCACGCAATGACACTATCGATAGTCGAAACTATCATATCGATCAATGATTACCGAAAGTTTGCGACTTGACCATAACTTTTCATTTTTTAAAATTTTGTTTATTATTTCTTTAAAAACAACATCAAACTTTTATTTTAAACAAATGTACATAACCAAACTTTTATTTATGCAACTATCGAAAACAATCGATTCTAGAGTTTTCTATATCTAAGGGCCGATTTCACCAACTTTCCTTAATCGAACGATTAAGTTAATTTGTAATAAAAGGTAATAAAAGGTTACCTAAAAAATAATGTTATAATAATGTCACAATAAAATATTTTAAGTTGACTCTAAAAATTACCTATGAATAACGTATCATAGACGTCTCAAAATTGACGTTACTATTACGTCAGAATATTCCAGGGTTGGGTAAGTAATGTTTTTTTTTAACTGAATAAAGTTAAAGTTAATGGCTTTACAAAATTAATAAATCTAAGTTAAAAGTTGAAGGAATGAAAAATGAACTTAACGAAAGTTAAGTTAATAAGTACACAACGTATTGCACACGGCACATTGCGCACACGACATTAATGTACACAGCATACAGGAATAGGGAGTTTTTGCAGTACCGTGTATACTATGGTGAATGCTAAACTCACGATAAGGTGCTTTTACATGGGAGCATTTAGAGTGCCTATACGGGACTCTAGAGCTGCGTTCGGGAAGCGCGCTATCAACTCTGTTTGTGTTATACTATCCTTGTTTCACATTTAATGGACGATGGAGACACAAATAACGCTAATAGCTTCTCCCCGAACCCAGCCTAGGAACGTCAAGCATCGAGCGTCAGAGCATGCGCAGTGATATATTGGGAGGATCCCGTTTGCCTACAGTTCTGATTGCACACACCACTCATATCAGCTGGTGCCTAGTAATTTTTTGCTGTTTTAGCAATGGAAATATTT